CGAGGGGGCCAAATTTCCGAAGGGGAGGCCATATTTCCTAGGAAATATGGCCCCCAGGGGGGCCAAATTTCCTAGGAAATTTGGCCCGGGGGGGCCAAATTTTGGGGGGGCCAAATTTCCTGGGACACCGGAATAGTGCGTGTGTGTGTTTTTACTTGAAGATACTAATCATAAAGGGGTTTGATATCAATTGGGACGCAAGTTCTGTTTCAGACTGCTGTCACAATTACTAATTATTTTGTAAGTTTTTATTGCTCTAGTGTCAGTTGTAATTGTAAAATTTTTCTATGTAAATGTGACAAATTCATTAAACTAAACTATCTAAACAGTCTAAACTAAGTTCAATCTTAATTGTTCTTCCGACCAAGCGGTCATTCCAAGGGCAGCAAGGGGGCCATACGTTATGGTCCAGAATTATTACAGCTAGGGAACTGGAGTACCTACACGGAGAAAACCAATCCAGTGGGGGTGTTTGGAGCAGTCTACTACTCTTCTCAAATGCGATTGACGCGAAATTGTGAAACTGTTAAATGTTAAAACATAAATTTTTCTTTTTTTCAGAGAGTACCATAAACGCAAGTGTAAGAATTTCGTGGCATTTCTTAAAGCTCTCTACTCCCTGATACGCTGCGTGTATCATTTGAAGACACGAGATCTACGGACTAAGGTAGCGAGTAAAAGAGTGCTTCTAACATATGTATGGACAGAGAACAGTTCAGAACTGATAGAGCTATCCAGTGTAAATTAAGGTTATAGTTTAGGTTAGGTTTAACACTGTATCATTGACTGATGTCAATGTAAAGGTAGCTCTTTCTTCTCAAGTATTTTGAGACCTTGAGTAGAGGTCCAACCAAAGATTTAAACTGAGTCTCCCAGATTGATTCGAAAGACAAGTGCCGGTACATGCAATTGTGTTCCTTGTTCTAACTCGTTGCTTCGGGTTACTGAACGAATGACTTAGATTCTTGCACTTCACTTGATGGCATTAATATTAGGATGTTAGGGTTTGTAATCCAAGTGAGAATATATACATTTTAAGACCTAACCAGGAACGACTGCGAAAATTCAGCACAAGGTCTTCTGGTAGGAATTGAACCTACGGCCCTGCGATTCCGGTGCAGCGCTCTAACCAACTGAGCTACAGAGGCCAGCTGTTGAGCTGTAACCGTAAGTTCATGTATATATAGGTAATCGGGTGTTTACAGCTCAACAGCTGGCCTCTGTAGCTCAGTTGGTTAAAGCGCTGCACCGGAATCGCAGGGCCGTAGGTTCAATTCCTACCAGAGGACCCTGTGCTGCATTTTCGCAGTCGTTCCTGGTTAGGTCTTAGAATTTATATATTCTCACTTGGATTCCAAACCTTAACATCCTAATATTACTGAACGAATACCTTTCAGAAACATGTACTTTGTCTTTATGTACTTCATTTTAAACACTAAGTACATCTTAAGTATTAAGTTTTTACCAGCTCAAACACGCGGCAATAACCATTGCAGTACACACGTAAAAACGCGCAAGTTGTAACAAACCTGCAGCAGACTATATATGCTGTTCCAACAACTTGTCAACAGGATGTGTTCGCACTGCTTGTTCCCAGCTTGTTGACAAGTTGTCAACGGCTTGTTGACAACTTGCTACAAGGTTGTTGAGCTCAACAGACTTGTTACAAGTTGCTCCAACAACTTGTTGTCGTCCTGCAATTCAACAATTTGTCAACAAGTTGTGAGTGACAACCTTGTAGCAACTTGATAAAATAACAGCACTGTTACAACTTGTTGACAAGCTTGCTACAAGCCTGTTGCGAACACATCTTGTTGACAAGTTGTGAGTGACGACCTTGTAGCAACTTGATAAAATAACAGCATTGTTACAACTTGTTGACAAGCTTGCTACAAGCCTGTTGCGAACACATCTTGTTGACAAGTTGTGAGATTTTTACATGTGTACCAGTCAGGTACGACTAAGAATCTTGGATTATGGCACCCTGATTCTCTGTTAATACATTCAGGTGCCACTCAGTCGAGACTATCTGAAAGTGATCAACACAGATGTACCCTTGGACGCCAAAGGAAAACCCATCAGACATCAGAGAGTTACAATTACCAATGCCCAAAATAACGAGGGCTCAACAGATTCTTTTCACATCAGAGGAAGCGACTCGGACCGAGTGACCAGTACGGTCCCTAACGAGTCCTTGCCGAACGTTTCACGACCATCAGCGATAGAATGCGGTTCTACTTCAGAAAAGCAAAGTACTGGTTTTCCAGCTAAGCGGTATGAAGTTGCGACTATTGTGTTATTTTACCACTTTATCAGGATGTGTTCGCACTGCTTGTTCCCAGTTGTTGTGACAAGTCTGGAACAAGTTGTCATCACCTTGTTACAAGGTTGATGACGGTAACAGACTTGCTACAAGTTGTCCCAACAAGATTAATGCAGGCTGTTCATAACAAGTTTCTACGGGTTTGTTGTCATCAACGTATTAACAACTTGTTATACGTGCAGATGATATCAGACTTTGTATAACAACTTGTTGCAAGTCTGTTGGCCTCATCAACCTTGTTACAAGATGATCCAACTTGTTCCAGACTTGTCAACAACTGGGAACAAGCAGTGCGAACACATCTTGTTGACAAGTTGTGAAGTTTTTATGCTTGTACTGTACCACCCCGAATTTTCGTGTCACTATATTAATAATGAATGTATCATTCCTGCTGCACTTACAGGCACGTGTCACATTCATTTCTTATTATTTAGTATGAAAAATATGCTGGCACGATCTGGTACGTTAGAAGATATTCCAGAGCCTGGCAGTTTGCCTGCAGGTCAAGACAATCCATCCAGTAGAGCTGGGATCAGTCGCTGTAGTCTGCAGGGGACCTTGTTATCAGTATGTACTGTTAAAAGGTAATCACTAGAAGACTAAACAGGGTTCGTACAGGTCAGGAAGAGTTAAATTCAAGGACTTTTCAAAGACTTTCAAGGCTTTGTATCAGGAAATTCAAGAAATGAAAGGGCTGAAAAAAGGCGTTAGAAATCAGTAAACAGTGATGTTAAACTAAACGGCAACTTTAATGAGTTTCAAACAGCTTTGGCCTTTGTAAGACATGAACAAAATCAACTTACAAAATGTCCAATTCTTAATGCCAAACAATT